GTAATTGGGCTAGGATTTAATCATCTGAGTGGACCGGAAATAAATATACGCGATAACCAAGAATTTCCGCTCGATCCGATTTAATAGAATATGGCCCGAAATAAATAAATAAAACCGGATTATATATATATGCATTTAAAGCAATTAGACATTTAATCACAAATAAATATTCACTAATAATAATAATAATAATAATATAAACAAGCAATAGTAATGACAATAATAAACTAATAAATAATCTCAAATAATTCAAATTCAACCGGGGCGTTACAGTCTACCCACCTTACAAAGAATTCCGTCCTCGGAATTCAAAAATAAAAACTAGAAAGCGATAAAATACAAAGGAGAACTCAGAACTCAAAGTTCGGATAACGCCTCCTAACATCGTCCTCCCTCTCCCAAGTCGACTCAGTCTCATCGTGTCGGCTCCACTGCACCTTCACTAAGCTCACTGCCCGGTTCCTCAGTTGGTGGACCTTCCGGTCCAAAATGAACCTCCTCGTAGGTAAGGTCTCGCTCGACCTGCAGCTCGCCGAAGTCCACCACATGATCGGGGTTATGCACATATCTCCGAAGCATCGAGACATAGAACACGTCGTGCACTCCCAAAAAAGTCTGGTGGTAGAGCCAGCCGATACGCTAAGTTCCCGACTCGGGGATGGGATCTTGGACTCCTGCCCTTGAATCAGTAGAGGATCCCATTTCCCGCTTAGTTCAGAAAGCGAGGATCTCGAACGGCCCGATATAGCGAGGTCTAAGTTTCCCCTTCTTCCCGAAGCGAATCACACCTCTCATGGGTGAAACCTTCAAGAAGACATGATCTCCACTGCATAAACATGCTCTTGCCTCTCCCGGTCGGCATAGACCTTCTACCTCTCTTGGGCAGACCTGATAGTCCTCCGGATCTCCTCAACTGTCGCTGCAGTACTCTGAAAAAAATCCTTACCCGTAATCCTCCTCTCTCCAACCTTATCCCAATACAAAGGAGTCCGGACCTTACGTCCGTACAAAGCTTCGTACGGGACCATCTTGATCGAAGAGTGGTAGCTGTTGTTGTAGGTCAGTTCGACTAGCGGAAGGGCATACTCCCAAGTCAAGCTTCGGTCCAAGACCACAGCCCT